CAAAAAAACTAATTAATGGTGAAAATAAGCCATTTTTAGAAAGTCAAAGAATTGGACTTTGCTCCTTAGAATGACGTTTAGGGAAAGCAGTAAGCAGGAGCAAGACAAGTTCTATATAAATTTGAGAAATTAATTGCGTATTTTGCTCTGGGTTAGAAAAAAAAATCCGGCAGAACCAAAACTTTTCTTTTAGCCATTTTCAGAGAGTTGGATCAGACCTCCAAAGCTCCCTCTTTACATAGTTGTAACAACCAAATTGAAAATTATCTTTTTTTAAACTAAGTTAAAATTCTCAGAGAAGCTGACCTTGTCAGGAGGCCCTGCACATAATTCTTGAAAATATTAATCACAGAGGTTTGTGTTCCTTTCTGTCAACTAAGTCTTTTTTCCTCCATTTTACGATTAACAATGTAATCACACGGAGTAATCCTCACATATATATATAAAATTTAACACTTTTTGTGAGAAAAAAATAAAACTATCTTTTCACAGTGCTTTCAAACACACAAAGTAAGCACAAAAAAGTCAAACTGAATTTTAAGAACTGTAATATTTCCACGTGAAAATTTATTTTTAAGCTGCTTCATTTCTTTTCAAGACAAAATTTATGCCAAACACTGAGAAGGGAAATTTTCAAGGCAAAAGTAACAATCCACCATCCTCTAATGAATAACAACAACAAAAAAATATTCCCTAAATCAATTTTTAACTTTCCTCAGTTAGACCTCTCAATTTTAACTGCAGAAGTGCAAACAGAGGAAGAAAAACTGAAGAGATGGGTTAAAGCGAAGATTCCTTTTCTAATGCAAACACCATAAACACTTAAATGACTAATGTAATGGGGTGATGGCCTCCTTGTGACACTGAACACTTTCAACTGACACATAACAAAAAAACCCTGACAGCACAGGGTGTTACAGGATGTTACTTTGGATGATAGGAAAGACTTGGGGTAAAACAAAACAAGACTGATGCTCTGCTCTAACTTGGTGTATTCTATATATGCTGTTGAGTAAACCAGAGTTGTTCATCAGGAGTAGAAAGAGAAGTTTGTGATTTGCACTGAGATTGAATAGTTGGGTTTTTTACTTACTGGAAGACCAAGGGGCCCTCTGTCACCCTTTTGACCTGGTTCACCCTTCAATCCTTTAAGACCATTTAACCCTGGTTCACCCTAAACGTAAAAGTATAAATGCCAAATTTTTGGTGCTATAAAGGGTGTTTAAGATGGGATAGAAGAAGCCAGTCTCAGAAATGTCTGCAAATTCCAGTTTGAAACAAGGACACAAATTCAAACTTCTTAGCTTACTGGCAATTTATATACTAGTATAGTACTGGGCAAAAACACTTGGGAGGGTGTCTGCTGGAGATTTAAAATCTGTGTGAAAAGAACTACAGGAAACTTATAAGCTACAGATTCTTTTGAATCTTTTCCTAATGATTATCACTATAGATAGATGGTTTGAATTGAGCATGAATTTCAGGGGTTTTTGGAATTTCCTCAAATCTCATAAACGACCCTATGCAGATAATTCAAACGGAAATAAAACTTTTAGAAAAATAAGCTTCAAAACCGCAGGTTTCTACAGTGGGATCTCTTGAAAAGTAAATTTTGTAAGGAAGCAATATTTTTTCTTATGGCAAACTGGAATTTGCAGAAAAATCTTACATAAAGATACTTTAAACCTTTAAGCATACATAATTAAACAGTAACAAATTAAAAGAAGCAGTATAGGTTATACAATAGTAAGCTCTTTGGGAAGTCCATAGCTTCAGTGTTCATACAGAGAAGTTTAAACAACATAAGAAATGGCACTTGTCTTGTGATTGTTAAATTATGCATAGGCTATTACATTAAACATCATTAAGAGGATAATGGTGGGTTTGGAGTTGCCAGTAAATCATTCTCGCATCATGAAAAACTACCTCATCTTGAGAGCTGCCCAGTCAAAAAGAGTACTGACCACATCTGCCTCTTTTGAGAAACAGAAATACATGAGTATTTCATCCAGGCTGCTCCCCATGGCCTGTTCCTAGGCTTCCCTTTGATGTATTATGTTACCTTATATCATACTACTATATTAAAAAAAAAAACAAAACCTCAATAGAATCTAGTCAGCTGCTTTAAGTAACTCCAGACATCATTTGCCTGCTTTGCACCCCTAAATAGCCATTTCTTTATTCTTTCTCTATTTGACTTGATGTGACTTTCAGAGCAGTAGCACTGAAAACGCTGAGGTTTTGGAAACAGACCTGAGAAATCTCACAAAAGCCTGAGTCTCAGGCCAAAAGCCTGAGGTAAGGCAGGACTGGTGCTAAGATGGAACAGACTTGACTTCAAAAAGTGATTTATGACTCAGGCTTCTTGCACCAAGGTAACACAAACAGTCTCATGAGGAGTCAAACCTGTGATTTTCTGTCTCACACCATAAAAAAAACAAACCCCAAAAAATTAAACAAAAAAATCCCGTCTCTTATTTTTCCAGAAAGGTGCATGTGAGTAGGGATCCATACTGATTAAAATGATCATACCTGACAACACCACTGGCCCTAATGAATGCTATGCTATAGTGTCACACTGAATTTTAGTTTACTGGTGATTACTGAATTAAAGCACAAAATAAAATATTCCAATTCTGTCAAAACCCCCTTCCCTCCTCCGGACCTGTTTTTGGGGGCTTAGAGAACACTACAGTGTATCTTCATGTGCTGTGCTGTGGAAAACGTTCAGATAGTATTGAAGACCTGCCTGATTGGGGATTCCAGGTTGGAAAACAAAAATACACACATGAGTTTGTGATGGGGAACTCGCATAATGCGTGAAGAAACTGGTACATGGCACCTAAGAAGGTGAAAGGCCATTCAAACTGGAAGAAGTGGGAGATGCAAGACAGCATAAATGAAGAAGAATTTATCTGACTTTTTCTTTATTTCCTGAATGTATAACACGCTTCTATGTTCAAAAGTAATTCCAATTGCAAGTGCAATGTTGAGTAACTTGCCCATAAACAGGAAACTAAATAATTTAGTGCCACATTACAAATATTAATTAAAAAAAAATGATTCAGCCAATGCTCAGGTTAAATACTACTCAGGAACAATCACAGAAAATTTCAAAAGCTTTTAAGCTGTATGTTAATATTAAAATCTGCTTTAAGGTTTAAGAATATAAGAAACATTTATTAAATGAAGCATAAGACAAAACATAGCTGCATGCATTAAAGAACATAGTGTGACACTTCACAGACATCAAGAACGTGACTATTTAAGACAGCCATTTACCTTTGGGCCAGGCAGTCCATGAGGTCCCTGAAAATAAAGATACCATTTTTCATTAGGAAAATATGCCACATATTTTTAAGATTTTGTTGTTTTGTAGGGGTGCAAGTTGCACCTGTATTTTTTTTCCTCACAAATTAAATGCAGCTGCCAATAAAGCAACTGTAAACACCTGATTCAGAAAATGAACCAGACCAGTAGTATGTTAACACTAACATAGGTGGTGCAATTTGTTTCTCTACTTCCTATGAATTTTAAGACATGCAGAAAAGGTTCTAAATTAGGTCCCTCTCTAATGGTCACATACACTCATAGCACTTGCATTAAACAGGCTTTAAAATGACAAGAGGGCTTAAACCCTTTCTAGCCCCGCTCCTCCTCCTAAGCTTACCATAGGGCCTGGAGGACCATGTGGCCCTGGTGGTCCAGGTGGTCCTATCATCTACAGACAAAAAACAATGGCATTAAATCATGCAGAGTAAAGAACTCCCTCTCAAATACCCTAAGTTAGACTGACCCTTCTGTTCGCAAGCACTTACAAACATAGCAATGCAATGGTGCACATTGACAGCATATCTAGAAAGGGTTTTTAGGAATGGGAATTATTTTGATTTGAAAGACAGGGTACCTGAAGTGTAGATCTGCCTGTGGATATAGCTGCATTCCTCTCCCCTGATTCTTACTCCTAGGGTCTAAGATACACTTTAACATGTTATAGGAAAAAAAATAAATCTCTAAAACAAACAGTACTGATCAGGGATGCTTGAACTTTTTAATATTTTATGGTATGTGCTCCTTAGTTGTCTCTGTACTACGTTATCTACAGAAACAGAAGAAGATGATGTGTGATTTTATTCCTCCCCCAATAGTGATGAATGGAAAAGATACTATATTCAAGCTAGGGTTTGGCATATTTTCAAAATTTCTCTTTGTCTCCCCTTTTATTTCATTTAGCCCACTTGTACCAAGAACTCCCTAAAGTCATTAAAATAGGTAATCAGGTTGCTCAGCATTTAGTGCATGCATATTCTCTACTGGTTTCCTGTGTTCCTAACAAATCCATGGAAGAGAATTTCATGATGGTATTTACAGTTTAATGTCATCTCTGTTCCTGGGTTTAATCTCAAAGGGCTGTTATCATAACCTGCAAGGTGGCAGCAGGGATGCTAAATCAGGTCTCCAGATTTAAGAGCAACCTCTCTGCTACACTAGCTGTTGGTGATGGCAATGGTTGCAACAAAATGAGCTTTGAAACCTAAGATACAGATTCCACCATCTGTGAAACCTCCTGAAAACTGAAAGACTTGTTTCAAGTGAGAGCAAGAGAACAAGATGAACGAGTTAGTGAATTAGTTTGTAACAAATTAATTTTCATTTCAGAGGAAGAGACCTGGAGATACAGGGTGCTTAGTGTGTCCTGCAATGGCAGAGGGTAACCCCTTTGACTCCTCAGAGCTATGTCTCCAAATACGCAGGCCATGACACCACTGACAAGGTAGTGGCAGTTAACTTCTGCTCTGAGGTTTCCTAACTTACTATGCTCTGAAAATGGTAATCACTCATATCATAAAGGTATTGTGTGGACAGGTTTTTTGTTTGTTTTGGGTTTGTCTGTGTTTGTTGTTTTTTTTTTTTTGTGGGTTTTGTTGTTGTTGTTGTTTTGTAATGCCTTTACAACACTTAAAAAATCAGAAGAATGACTGGTCTTGTAAAACTAGTCTCTATCCTGAGTCACATGTCGCTATTCCTGGCATCACTGAAGTCAGTCTAGTCTGCTTCTCACTGGACTTTCTGAGATCCCCAGAATACAAGGTGTCAAGAGAGATTTTTTCTTTGGTTTGTTTTTAGGTTTAGTTTTTGGGGTTTTTTTCCCATCAGTCTTATCTCTCCATTTTATCTTGCAAAGTATTTATCTTTTGATTCATTACAGAACCAGAAGACTTTCACTGAAGGGAGAAGGACTGTGGTTCATAGTGAGAGAACAGAACAGGATTACATCCTTAGAATTTCTTAAACAGTATTTAGCTTTATGACCAGAAGTCCATTCATTCTCAAAAGGGCAAAGAGTCAAATAGGAAAAAATATTTTGAAAATTCAAGTGTAGGAATCATCAAGGATGCCAGGAAAGATTATCCGTGAATATGAAGTATTGTTCAGAATCAAAAGCTAGGAACCATTGCTGGATTATTATGGTCACTGCAGCTCCACACTGAGACTTACTGAAGGACCCTGGGCACCAGGCAAACCAACATCTCCTTTTTCGCCTTTCATACCATTGGCTCCCTACAAAATCATTACAAGACAGCACTTACAATCAATTCAGAAATTATATTTATTTGCAAATAATTACATATTTTAAAAAAGAATAATACAGCACATGTATAATGGAATTAATTTTTTTAAGTTTTGCTGTTACTTTATTAATAACTTTTAACAAATGTAAAGGTATGCTTTTATATTCTTGGCTATCAATTGTGGCATAATATTTGTAACACGTCCTTAAGTTGACGCTCCATTCATGATATAATATACTATGGGTACATTTTTGGAATTGTTTCTATTTTTACTGAGAAATTTCATTTGTACCTTGATACGGAAGAGGAAGAATGCATCCAATAAATACTGATGTATTTCCTCTTCCTCTTCAATCTAAGTAATCTGAAATTCCTGATATGTGTTCAAAACACAGCTCCTTTCTCCTACAAGCTACACTTGCCCAAGTTGTGCTATACATTACAAGAGAGGCACAAATCTGATCAGCATGCCAACTAATCTGTCTCTTCCCAAAGCAGTATTTTGTTTGAGTGTAAGTGGAATGAAAAGTTCTGACAATCTTACACTTCATCCTAGATCGGCTGCAGAACAATCTCAGAATTTTCCTCCCCAGTGCTTTCTGCCTCATTTGCAATTTATCAGCACTGTTAGAAAATCCTGATAGTGGAAGAGAGAAAAAAAAAAAAAAAGCTAAAATAAGTTAATTTTTCATACTCACTGGCAGGCCAGGCAGTCCAATTCCTCCCTTTTCTCCAGGCATTCCAGGATCACCTGTATCTCCTTTTGAGCCTTTAGGACCCTAAAATATGTACTTATTCAGCAAGTCATGTGTAAAAAACCAGACACCTCAACAGAATCTAGTTTCAATCCTAATAAGCAGAGTAAGATTTCTATGGATTGAGACCTTTGTTATTAAGATGTAGAAATGCAGCCATTATTATACTGCAGAGTATGCAGCAACACAATAATGATCTTTATTAATTACTCTCATTATATTATTATTTAGATTATGAAATCTAAGATACAACTTGGGATCACCGATATAATCTCCTGAAATAAGCTATGGTTGCTCACATGATCTTCACAACATGATTTATGCATAACGTACCTGCTCCCCATCAACTCCTGGGGTTCCTGGGGATCCTGGCTCACCCTGCAAAAAGATAAGATGGCATTGGATTATCCCAATTGTCCCAGACATTAGAGGAAAGAGGCAGAGAAACTGCCATAATTAACAACAGCAAAGCCAGAGAATATTGTGTCAAAATGAACAGCATATATATTATACATATATGCAAGATACTGAATAAATAGCCCTGCTGATTAGGTCATTACAACCAAAGGCCAAACAAGTGCATAAAAAGAAACAAAAAAAGAGTAATAAAGATAAGCCTGGTGAAGCCTGGTGAAAAGACCCCAATCCAGTGAAAACTTTATCAGTTACTGGAATAAATATAGAATCATGTCTCTTGATAAATGTAGGGTAGACAAAGACTTCATGTTTTCTTTCCCTGGTTAATATAAATTATCCAGTAAAGGAGTTCACATTCCCAACATTGCCCTGTGACTGATTCCTGAATAGCATTCTCCAAGGGAGCAAGTTACACTGATGGGTAGAGACTATAATATTGGGAACAAACTCCTGTAAGGTTGAATTCTGCTTTGAGTCATTATTTTTGATTGAGCACGCTCACCCATATGAAGGAACACAACCTCGTCAACACTTCAACTCCAGGCTGCAGATATGCTGGGTAGATCCTAATGCAGAAAGCCATTTCTGCACACTTAACTGTGTATTCCATTATCAATTTTCACGCAGAAGAATGAACCTCGTTTCTCACAATTTCTCGAAAAAATTAACATATATAATGTGTTGTATTTCCATATAATACCTTGGATGAAGCCTAAAATTGAAATGTCTAGTTATTGAAGAAACATGTATTTACTCTTGAAAGAGTTTAGAGTCACTAATAGAAGATACGATCTATTTAGTACTTAAGAAATAGGAGAATTATCTCAACTAATTTAAAACCAATTTAAGGAGGGTCCACTAACTGCAAAACTTGGGTTTTTTTTTAAAGCATAGGCAAATTCATTATTTAAATTTTATAGTACAGTGCAGCATATGGTATTCATTGTCTCTGTGTGGGCTGCTCACTAACAGTTCTGGTACTACACACAGCACCAGCCAGGTGGGATTAGCAGGCTTGGGTTTGCAGCCAGGCTCCTGCCCGCATGTGCATGTTTTAATTTTTACTGACATTAGAAAAGACTGTGCTTATTTGGGTGGGCACCCCTGTAATATAAAAGCGGCATTCACATGCACTCATACCGTGGCCAGTGGTGCCTTGCACACAGTTCTACCTACCCCATTTCCACTCAGCCAGAAGTGGTGCCTAGGAGCCACTGTCTGGTTGTGTGGCTACTTTGCAACGTCCTAGGGAACGGCCTCAGTGCAAAGCCATGGGGGAGATGCTTCTGCCCTGTTTCAATACTAGTTGTGCTGGTTCTCGGCTTTGGATCTGTGTGTAGCAACTAAGCAAAGCACACATTCTGGAAAGCTACATTTCAAAAGGCTAGCACACAAAGTTTGAAACATGCCATGTTCAGTAAAATTACAAATACGCTGTACAGGATTGCTCCGTGTACCTGTGTGCACACCAGTTAAAAAACCAAAAGACACCACAACCCTTAAGATACAATGGGTAAAATACAGAAGATCACCTTTGGCCCCTGCAGCCCTTGGGGTCCCGGTGGTCCTGGTGGCCCCTAAACAGAAAGATACAAACCTCTCAGCTTTTAAATAAATTCCTGCAGGACTTGCCATGTAAACACAGGCTGATTGTTAATGCAGCTCCGATAACAAAATGGGTTAGAATCTTAACACAAGGGAAACCAAGACCAGTTATAGACAAGTTAGCCTGTGACAATTCTCAATCACCAGAAGGGTACCACAAAAAACTATGTTAAAATAACAGTAGAGATCATATTTTATAATAAAGCCCTGCTGCTCCCACTGATGAAATGGCAAAGCTACTCATAATGGCAGGGACACCAAAACTCACCTCAGCCACATTTTCCAGCCCTCACATCCTGATCCAAAACAATCCATGGTCAGGAGAAATCTCCAGCTGATTGTAAAGAGGATTCAGCTAGAAGATGCTAAGTGCATTTGGGGATACACAGTGTTTTGTAAAATTGCCATGGAATAAGTTGCATTTCTTCCATTTCTACCTCAGGCTGTGGACACATATGTATCAAATAGTGGTCTGGATGGTGCACAGTGGGGATGCTTCTAAAAAACCTCCTACATTTAAAAATCCCCTCCATTAATATAAAGAAAGCATTTGTAGAGATGAGAAAACAAACTAACAGCAATATTGCAGAGAAGGACTTGAAACAAAAAGAATAATAAATTAATTTGTTTATACCAAGTCTGCAGCTTTAAGAGAAGGCTGACTTTGCAATACTATAAGCATCTCCTGGCTGGTGTCAGGATTCTCAGAAATTGTGTCTGGCCTGACGTGACTAAACCTCCCACCAAAATTGGCTGGAGTAAAAGCATTGGAGTGTTCAGTCCACATTTTGGGGAGAGGTGTTGGAAAATTTATCGTTATTTTTGAGATCTGATAAGATAGGACAAGAGAATTCCTCATACTTGGGCTATCTACTTAGCTTTACTTATAGTTAACTGAGACAGGCCTTTTTTCAGAAAATAATTCATTTGCATCTAAACTCCCAAACAAAGTTTCTTCACAAGCCAATTTGAAAGAACCGAATTTCAGCCCTGAAAATAAGGTTGATAATAGAAAATTGTTTGGTATTCAAATCCTGCTTCGTGTTTTCACTCGATTCCCACATAGACACACAGAGATGGGGACATACATCAAAAATTCCAAAGCAGCTATCTGCCTAGATGTGTACCTCAAGAAATACCAAGTTCTGTTTTTTCCTGATCTCTTGCTTAAGTGAACTGAAGTTTTGCCATTAATTCAGCAGGAGCAGAATTGGTCTCATTGTTGAATGGCTTTCAACAATGGGTTCTCTGTTATGGGAACACCAAGCAAATAAATAAATACATGTGATGATGAAGCAGGTCAACATCCAATGAAGGCATGCCCTGCACTAGCAGAATTATGAACATGCTACAACACAAAGGAGAAGCTCAACACACAGTAAGTCATGCAATAGGAATTACCGTGACAGTCAGAGTGGCAATCCTCTGTTGGCAAAATATATTAACAAAAGACACCATTACCAGAATTGAATAAGGATATAAATTGTTCTGCTTGCTACAATTATCATCTACACAAAACCTATGGTGCATCTGGGAGACACCATGCCTCCAAAAAACAAGAGTAAAAACCATGTGATTTTTAACTCCCAGTGTTGTTCTAGCTGCTTGGCTTCTATGGGAAACCAGGGTTTTACATAGGTGAATACTGCAGGTTCTTGCACAATTAAAGAAATCACATAGATGATGACTAAATAGCTAATTCATAGCAAAAGTCTTCCAAAAATATTTTTTAAAAAACATTTTAGGAAAACATGAGTTGGTGTCTTAAGTTGACTAAAGGGCTTGCCCTATGTTTTTCAATCTCTGCAGGTTTTGCATCAATATTTTATTAATAAATACAGTTCCTAGAGTGGAGACGTAACACTGATTTTCATACAGAAATGCAGATGTACAAAAAAAGTTAAGTTCTAAAGCCAAAACTGCTGGTCCACAAAGCTGGCTCTATATACTACAATTCTCCTTTAAATGTTTGGAAAGACAAAAGACATTTTCATTATGGAATGAGGCAAAATATCGATCTACCACTATTTTTTTTTTTTTTCCAAAGAATAATTTAAAAGCAAGCAAAAAAGTAATTAAAAGTCATTAAAACACTTGTATATGTTTTTAAGCAGAGTAAAACACCCAAACAGTGCTGCTTGAACACACTTTCCTATTACCTACATGGAACAAGAAATATTTAACTTTTATAATTGTTTTCCTATGTGAAAAGAAAGGTTTGCAAATCTTCTGTTTTAAGCTTTAAAAGAATCTCCATTTGCCAGGGCAGCAATACATCCTGTTGTCAGGAATCTGGAACCCGCTCAATACAAAGTACTTGGAAAAAAAATTCTCTAACACATGGCTTTAATATATTGATGTCCACTGTATTGTAACATAATAACAGAAACATATCAAGAACTTTAAAAATACTGAGAAATTTAGTTTATCTAGATATGAAAACCTAAAATAACCATTGCAAATTAATGTCTGCTTATTCACACTAACAGGTTCCTTTCCGGCAGCATATTCAGATTTTAATAGCTGATCCTTAGTTCCTGCAAAGGTTAGACTTTTGCAGCTACTGCCTTTTGCCTTAGGAAAGTCTGCAGAAGGGGCCTGAAGAGCAATTTCAACAAAGACACAAATTTTATATCTGTTCCTGCAAGTGAAAGCCACATACACTCAGCAGTGGTCTTGTTCAGACTATGAGGGTAAGTTTAAGATTGCACTTTTCAGTGCTGATGGACTAAGGCATCTTATTCTCCACTGACACATGAGCTAGAGTAGGAGGCACAAGGCAAAGTAACTAAATTGTTATGAAGCTTCTAGACTGCTTGATGATTATCACTAAATTCTAAAAAAAACCCGGACAGGCAGCCCAGGTCTTTCTTACAAATTCTTGTCAACTTCCTAAATCAGCCGGCCAAATTCTGTGCAAGTTCACAGCTCAGTGCCAAGCACTGTAAGTTCTCATTTGCTTCTATGGGAGAGCTGCAAATCTCAGAGCCCCTAAGAATTTGGCACCAGGAGACATAGGAATGGGTGCTTGCCATCTGAAAGGACTGAGCTGGATTTGGCAAGGATATTTTTGACTGATCCTATATAATCTTACACTACCCTTGCACAGCCATTCCCATTAATATCAATTATTTGTTACCCTGGATGAGAAGGTGATGACATTTGAAATGATTTACAATAGGATAAGGGCCTCCTAACATGTTTCAACTACTGCAAAAGGCTTTAGTCACTTTTTAAGACTTCTTTATGTGCTGCAACTTTTCTAAGGAAGCTTGAAAGTAACATTGATGCCAGAGTTAAGATACAAAAACAGAATACAGGAGATACAGGGGCTAGAGTCGTTGGCAAATCTGTGTCTAGTAATATGCAACATAAATTTCAAGCTACTTTAGGTATCTAACTCAGAGACTGAAAGTTGTGTGCATGAATTTCCTTAGAAGTAAAACAAATAAGATAGACATAATGCAGAGCTTCACAATATGTCTATGTAGACTTCCCCATAGACACCACTCACAATGGAAGTGTGGACTTAGCCTTAATGACATACAGGTTTTTAGCATTTAGTAAAGGCAGTGAGGTTTGTTTTTTTTTTTATTTTTCAAAAGAGTCTTGACAACCAAATGACTGGCCAGGCATCTATACACTCCCACTGAGTAACTGCAAGAAAAAAAGTTCAGTGGCTTCAGTGAGAAAATAATCAGATCCACAATGAGCCAAATTCAGTCTTCAGTTACACATAAGCAAGCCATTCACTTTGGTGGAGTTATACTGCACATAATTTGCATCTGAGTATACTGCAATGTAAATCACCTTGACTGCAATGACATATGTCACCTCAGTACTTTGCTTTTATGCAAACACTCATTCATTCTTTTTATAACCCCACTTTAATCCTCCACAATTTTCTGCACACCAGTCAAAATAAGTTTTCTGGAAACGAATAAGTGGAAAGACTGGTGCTTGGTCTATTTAACATACTCAAGTTGCTGATTGAATCCACAGCTTGCTAATGGAACCACATTACATGGTTTCCAAATCTCAAATATTCTGCTCTTTGCAAAGGAAAAGGAAGAGGAAGAGGAAAAGGAGGAAAAAAAGAAATGTCAATATTATACTACATGAACCAAAAAGCAGACACCTCTGCTGAAGCTATGTATGTAGTTTATTACATGAATTCAGCACTAAGCACCAGAGCCAGCAATGAATCAGCTTTATCCTCATTAGATGATGTCAGTAGTCTCCAGGGGAAATGAAACTAATTCACTCAGCTAAATTGTATCAAGGAAACAGTTTATCTAACACCAAAGGGAAAGCATCCTTTCCAAACATAGAAAGAAATTTCTGATATATAAACTCAGCAAATCTTTGCACACAAAACAGTTTCAAGGTCTACACAAAAGAGAAATAGAATGCTGTCAGACTGCTTTTTCTCAGACCAGACGAAGCCACTCCAGCCTTGTTATGTTTGCATACCTGCAGAGCTTCATGGATATTGCCATTATAGTCAATTATCTCTGTTGCACCTTGATCACCCTTCTGTCCAGGTGGTCCCTGTAATATATTTTCCATAAAAATTTTGAGTCACCTATCAAAGAATATTCTAGACACAACTACTGACACACGCTATGACCTGACTGTGCAGTGTTGGAATCTTGTACTTACAGTATATTACTACAATCTACAAAAGTTAGCATTAAATTAAAATTGTTTTTAAAGGAAAATTATTTAAAAAAAAAAACAACAAACAAGCAAGTCAGTACATAGTGACTTGTGCTGCAGTGGGAAAGCAAATATATGAAACCTCTGAGGTTCAATGTCAGAACCTCTGGCACGTAGCATCCTGCCCATGATCTGTGAACAGGAGACAAGGGCTGGTATTCATATTAAAGGCCAGTTAACAACACATGTTCCACCAGAGTCAAGTGCCCAATTTCACCAGTTTAACTGGAGTTGCTGCTACAATTTCAATTCATAGTGTAGACTGAATCTATGACAAAATAAAACGCTGAAAAGTGAAGTAGACTTACCCGTGGACCTGCAGATCCTGTGTCACCTCTGTCACCTGTATCACCCTATGTAAAAATGACATTTGAAAACAGATATGCTGTTTGACAATATATCACATACTTCTTCCCTTTTAGTTATGTTTACCTTAAATAAACCAGTTTGAAAGGCCTCTTGTCATAAAAAGAATGAGGATCTTAATTAATTAAAGGAAAAATTCCTTCAAAATTTGTGTAGGTATGGTTGACTGATGCATTTTGTTCTGTGTAAATTGTTAAGAGTGTGCTGTACTGGCTTGGAATAAGAAATCCCAGAGAACCAAACACAACACAGATTGCCAATTAATTTACTTGTAGAACTTCCCTATTCTTAATGGTGCTATTAGCAAAAGCTTTAAGAAAAACCTAGAGAAATGAAATCACTTGGTCTGAAAACACTTAGCAACTTCTTCAAAGGTGTGTTTCAAAGTGTATAAACTTTCTGTGATCATGACTCCACTAACTTTCTGAAGTTCCCTACTCATGAGTTGTCTTCCCCACAAACACAACATTACTGTCAGCATTAGAGTTCCCCTACTCCCTTACTGCAACAGGCTTTAGATCTTTACCATCTTGCGCACAGCTTTTTCTTCCTGGCTATTTGTAATAAGTTTCAAGTGATGGAGGGAATTTCAAACATGTATGCATTCATATCCAGTGACTATGATTCATTTCATTTAGGTCACTTTCATAGCAAGATCTTATATTGTTATATTCCTCAAAATTAATTTGGGTAAGAACTGCAACTTTTGCTCCTGTTGAAATCTATAAAATGTTGATACAACTCAGGGAAGAATGATTAATTCGCCAGTGGTAATAGTAAACACAGAAAACTGAAAATTTTCATGTGGCTAATGAAGGAATATGGGGAGCAGGCTGGTGGCAGGACATAATTAAGGTTGTGCGATCTGCTTTTCCCTTCAGTGTTGCCTTGGCAGCAGCTAGTAAACATGTCATTGGAATTGTTAAAAAATGAAGTTCCCAACTACACTGACTTCTCTGGGCCAGATTTTCTAGACAAGTATGCAGATAAAATGAAAATCGTATGTTCCTTTTTGATAAAAAGGAAACTAAATGGGGGATCTTTATCTTTTTGGTGCATTTGGGCGGTGCTCAGGTACTGAAGGCAAATGAGAGGCTGATTTCCTCTTCTACTCTCACTGTGATGCTTTAATCCCCTCATCAGCTCCCTCACTTTCCAATGTTTCTTTCTGGTGAGAACCAAGAGGTTAAGTGGCACTTATTTAATCATATCCTTAAGCACTGTGAATGGGCTGCTCTTCAAGGACCTTTCAAGTACTGCAAACAGTATCTTACCAGTCTATATTGTCTTGTCATCTTTATTCTGACAGTAGAGTCAATAACTGCCTAAACAAATCTATTTCATTTCGCTTTGACTCTGTAATATAACATGAAAGAGTCCAGTATTTGCACAGTGGATGAAGGAATAGAAAAGTATATATTTTATCTCTTTCTACAGATATGTGAACCAACTCTATCTATATAGAGATGGATGGACAGACAGATAGATAGGTATAATCAAAGTAGATTTTTAAAGTAGGTAAAACAGTAATGTAACCTACAAGTCTGGCCTTTGTAGGACTTCTGGCCATCACATCTCAGACTGCAGTACGTGGAATACTGCTGATTCCTAACTCACCACAGTGTGAATCCACAAAATTATTGTGAAAACCAATTAAATCTCCACAGGCATAGTCAGGTGTTGGTTCCTGGCATGTGGAGGAGTAACCCACATCAGTTACACAGAGAGAAACCAAGTTGCACAGGGAAAAACAGAGCAGAGAGGAATAGATGTTATAACAGAAAAATAACTAGAATCACAGTGCTTAAAACACACAAGAATTTGACTCTAATAGCTAAAGCTGAAAGTCAGAAGGTTTCACTTATAAAGAACACTGCTAACTGTTACAGTCTCCTTTACAAAGATAAGAGAAGTTTCTGTGAAATGTTACAAATATTTTATCCTATAAATTGTTAAGTACTCCACTAAAGACAGTTCCTTTACTACTAACCTTTGACCCTTTTGGGCCTCTAGATCCAGGTTCACCTGTTTTCCCCTGTTTAAAGGAAGACAGACAGGAGAAAAATGATAGAGAAATGGGAGTGCAGAGAAAAAGAAATTAGTAATGACTAAATAAAGTATGGAACAGCTGTATTACTTCATTTTATAGGACCAAGATAATGAATCTGTAAAGGCACTGACTTTAATAGCACTCAGAGTAATACATTCTTTAATATCAGCATGCAAAGGCCACAGATTCCATCCTTCCAAAGGAAAAGTAGTATTGGCATTAGTAAAGAGTAGACATCCTTAACACCGGTTTGCAGGAATAACCTATGTCATTCCATAGCTCCTGAAAAATTGTAAGAGATAGAGAAGATAGTTAAATATCCTAAAATAAGGAGGCTAAAATAAAGTATTACCACAACTTCTTTCCCCAACAATTCGGGAGCACTGAATTTGCCTTATTATTTTCAAGTATTAGGAAAGGAAAACTTGATGGTATTGATACAGTGGAAAATATTAAGACAATGCTAAAATGTAGTTAGAATGATCTCTTTCTTACACAGTTAGAAAACAGCATGCAAAATGGATTTTCTCTGCATTCAATAGCTACACTGCTCAGAGTTCAAACTTCAATGCTGAAAGTTTGGGACCCAGAGGTCAGGACTTTAGCTGGAATGAATTAGGCCAACTCCATGACAGTTTATGTAGGTAGTGTCTTTACTTTGTAGACCAAATAAGAGTCCATTCAGACTGAAGTTCCACAGCTGTGCACACAAAATGACCATTGTCTTCTGGACTGGAGTATTTGACAGCATTCTCATTTAAAAGCTCACTCACCAAGTTTTTGTTCTATTTTTCAGCAGGAAAAGATGTATTCACAGGTGTAAAACTAACAAAACATTTCTAATGTAAAATAAGACTGACCTTTGGTCCAGGAACTCCAGGTTCACCACGCTCACCCTTCCCAATAGGGCCTGCCTCTCCTCTGTCACCCTATTGCAACATATACACATGTATCACAAAATACTGGACAGTCTTCAGCACACCACCAACTCAGCACGACCAGAGAAACTAAACCATCAGAAGAAAACATTTTCATTTTAATCTGTGACTTGTAACAGGTTGGGGAATTCTCCCCTGAATAAATACAGTCTTCTTGAAGGCAAAAGAAGGCTTCAAAATGGAAATGAGATTTGTATTTTTTTGCCTATTCTGAAAGAAGTGGAATAAAGATTCCCAAACTGTGAGACTGTAGGATTCATAATATTCTAACTTTGCCATACAGTGACTAAAAGCAACCCCGCAGGAAGAAAGAAAAAAACACAGGTTTAGTTGATCTGTATTTTCAGAGTCTGGTGTTTAGTATCAAAGGTCTAATTCCTGCACACACTTCCAAGCTTTTTTTTCTAAAAAAACATTTATGAAAATATAGTTTCTTCAGTCATCCATATTCTGCCTCTTGAACAAATAATTTTTGGGATGCTAACATGAATAAAGGCAACAGATGAACTAAAGTTATGAATGGATATAGTATCGGCCTTCACATTGTTTGAGGTCATCAATACAAAGACACACATATCGTAACACTGGTCCATGAACTATGACTTTCCACCTCTTCCTCCATTAGTAACAGTCTCAGTCTCTGTTATATGCTGAGGAAGTTGAATCTGACATTGGCTCTCCGGCTTTGCACAACTATTGACCAGTTACCCTTACCTTTGTTCCTGGTAGCCCTGGCAACCCAGGTTCTCCTTGCGGACCAATGAAACCTGGTTCACCCTTTAAAAATACAATATGAGAGGAATGTTAGATTATTTATTTAGCAGTATGTAATTACAGTAACACAAGTTTCTTTTGCATAGTACTTTCCCTGTATTGCTTACAGCTCTCCAGCTGTGATGCAACAGTTACACAGACATACTTTTCATCATGGGTAACTTTCATCAGCATAAATTCTTGTAGCAAGCCATTACACAGCACATGAAATGCAAATGAAGCAGAATGTGTCAAACATAGTTTTTATGAGGTTAAGGACTGTTAATATGCAACCTGGACTATAACATAACATACCAAACTAATATCAAAGCAAGTCTGAAGGCAGGAGGGGAGTTCTGAGGGACTCCTAAATTTAAAAAGCGACAGTTCATTTCAGTCATGTGTTATGAGGTAGTTTTCTATTGCAGCACATGAATAGATGGGCAGACAGGGTAAGGGTATGACAAAGCAATGACAAATGGAGAGGCCAGATGGTACTGTTGCAATGTGTTTTCAAGGGAGGTACTTAGCTGTATCATCCCCCAAGAGGAGATCAAAAGTGATCTCCTTTTAAGTCAGAGACCTCCAGCTCCATGGTACTCTCTCTCTTCATTCTGACAGTAAAATACTTCAGTTCTCTGCACCTGGACAACTTCTCTGGCTGTAAACAGCTGGGAAAGAGCCACAGCTCTCCTCCACTCCCTTTCTGTTCTGTCCCCTTCCTGCCCATTGATTTTTACAAACATAATGGACAAATAGCAAGAATCAAGCTGAGTTGCAGCAGAAATTAGCATCAAGCAGAGGAGTAAAGACATATTTTATTACCTATCTCCATACCTGAAGGGGGATAATGGAAGATTAATAAGACATATGTTTTCCTTCACAGATGCTCCTGAACAAGGTTTCCTGCTATTTAATCTTGCATTTTTTCACATAAATTTGAATCAAGATGTACCCATAAGTTATTCTAAACTTTAAAATCAGTAGTGTAACCCAAATAATATTTATTTATTAGCCTTTTAACAATATCCCTGAACTTAATGACCAAGAATTACCCATCAAATGTCTCTTCAAATAACTAAGACAGACATGTCATTATCCTGTATTGATATAATTATTGACAACATATAAGAGACAGTGAATATAAACAGCTGGATAATATTTCTCTTCACCTCTTTGCTTCTATAGAAAAACAGGTATGCTGCAAGGAGGGGAGCAAATTGGGAAGTATTCTTGCACATTCATCTGTACTCTCAAGAGCAATCCATCATTAACAGTTCGAAGCAAAGAAGGTCTCTAGCAAACCTATAATCAGAGAAATCTTTCCTGTGTGTATATTGAAGGTCACGGCAAGCTCTCAGTGACCTCAGTGTAGATTACCAAAAAAATACAACTCAATAATTAGTTTTCTCATATGAAGTTCCAGCTGGCCATGGTTCAACATATGATAACAAAGGAATAAACTAGGACAAACACGTTAGAGAAGCACGGCTTTTTGCTGTCATAGGAAAATAACCTTACAGTTTATATGTCTTTGTATTAGTGCACACCAGCAAGAGTAACAAACAGTTGTCATTGCAGATGGAAGAACTTTAATGTCAGTAAATGAAGAACAATGCAGCTTCAATACTTTATATTAGAATAAGAAGGTACTCGATAGCCCTAGATTGTTTTAATTCAGACTTTACCAGGGCTAATTTCTTGGTCATCTAATTATGACTTCAGATGGAAAAACCATGCAGTGCCTACATGATTCAGTCTAAGCCTGGTAAGGCTTAGAAGTGTCGTACAGAGGTTGATGAACACCTTCGAGTCAAATTCTTTTACTTTGCTCAGGACTATACCAGTTGCATACCACAAGAATACTCCTGGCCAAAGTCCAAAAAGAAGTCCCACCTTCCATTAAAATCTCTAAAGAGATAAGAAAAAGCTTTGCAATAGCTAGTGGAATTAATAATGGAAGAAGCTGGTGGCTTAATTAGCATAAGTAGAATGCAAATCTTATATGACACCAAGCTTTAAAACACTATTAAATGCAGAGTGGAAGAAGTGCTGTGTGAGCAGAGACTAGGAGTTGACTGGCTGAGTATCAGCTCTTCTGAGAAGGACACGGCAGTTACGGTGGATGCCAAGTTGAAGGTGATCCAACAGTGTATTCTTACCACAGGTGAAAAAACCTGCAGTAGTTAAGACCTGGCTACACGAAGAAAAACATGCAACTCTCCTTCTATTGAGTGCTAGTGAGGCTAAGTAGATTAAAATACAGATCTGATTTGCCATCTGAACTAAACTTCTAAGTAAAAAGACAACATATTTGGATGATTTGAAACTAAACTGTGTCCTCTCTAATGTGTCAAATCTCCTGAGTTTAACCACAGCATAAGGAATTAAATAAAATGCTCATTGTGTATACTTCTGCATCACTCAAAGACAGTGAAGGTAACAACTGTATCAGGTTTGTCTCTGGCATCTCTGTCTCAGTTACTGAGAAGAGAAACACATGAGAAGCAATGCCCATTCCTCATACCTGCTGTATCCTGCAATTATATTCTGAAAATATTACAGGCTTCCTTCTTTATGTTATCCTTTATTCCAGATAGCAAAAAAGGATATGAGAATTTATTATAATTAGCGCTGCCCATGATGTGTGAAATGTAAAGAAAACAGTTTCCTCTCAGTAAGGCATGCTGGTGTCTCTGTTAAGCAAAGGCAAACCAGAGACCATTCTGATTAGTCCACACAAACACATGCCAGGGCCACAGAGGAAGAATGGTTAGAAAATCAGTGACTAGGGTTTGAGGTTTTTGTTTTAAATATATGACATCTATGATTTAGCTGGCACATAGCTGCAGGAAAGCAGAAACAGAGGCTTGCTCGGGGCTGCACTTTGATTTGACAACATCGTAGCTCTGGGCTTCACTGAAGCATCTCCTGATTTTAAGCGTCTTGCTTAAATGAGCTCAGAATTTCTTCAAAACTACCATGAAATGCTGAGAGGAATGCAAGGAAGCAGAGAAACCAAGATTTATACTTTTCTAAACATCTCACTACAACTTCTTACAATAAAATCAAAGTTTTATCTAGTAAGAATCTACCAGAAATTTCCTCACCTGCTAAAGCAGGGGCAGGGAACACAAAATTCAGAAAGAGGAGATAAACAGGTGCATTTTGAAAGAAGAGTAAGGAACGCTCCCATTTGAAATATTGTTTGGCAGCTGTATAGAAAGCCATCAGCAAAGGGATGACTCTCTGTGTTTCAGTTTAACCTAGTTATGAAATCACTGCTTAGAAACCACCACATTGCTCAGGGAGTCAACAAGATGAAATTCAGCATTGTAACTTCATCTATTGCTAGGGCTTGGAGCAATTTGTGTCCATCATACAATGCAGGCAACTTGGTATTATGAAAAAAAAATAAACCAGCTTGTGAATGATTTGTTATCTTTTCAAGAATTTTTAATGGCTTCATATTTTAATATTTTAAGAGATTATCTCTGTGAGTGCTTATTTTCACCCTCAAATGTTTGTCAACTGTAGAAATACTAGTGGGTCAGACAGCAAATGATATACTATTAATCACAAACCTTGTTACTGTTAATTTTCATCTCTTACCATAAATATCTGAAACGTTAAAGGGCCCTATAATGGCATGCTGCACAAGTAGCATAATGTGAGCTTTATCAGAATTCAATAGTAAAAAAGCCACCTTGTAATTTATTTCAGAGGATGGTCAAATTTTTATGAGGATTATTATCTATACATATTCATAACTGTTTTTCATGATGATCAAAGCTTTTATGGGTTGCGGCAGAGGGTAGCTTTAATATTAAAGGTTAACACTAAGAAACACTGTTTGCTGTCGCCTTCTTCTAACTTTTATAGAACCTGTAATTGGCTAAAACTTGGACGTTCACTTTAAAAAGCTGCAACAGTTGAAATCCCATTTGCAATGCTAATTGCTGTTTTAAACACCACTAATTTGGGAAACATTCATTAACAATGTAATTCTAATACTGTATTCAGTTAGAATTAGCCTTCGTTGCACAGCTGAGACACACAACACAATTAATTGAAACTTTGTTCTCACAGACAGGCCTAGTCCACTTCCAGTGCCTGAAATACACAGCTCTAGGCTGACACAAGCAATTGGTAGAGAACAGCAGTTGTTGGATACACTGTTTTCCCACAGAATGCTCTTCCTTCTATAATTATTCTTGTAATTAATGTAACACACATTTTCCCCTCCAGATCGTTTGCCCCAAAAGAAAACCTGTGCTGCAGAAAAGTGCCTGAACCATCAGCTCTTCTATTCTCCTTCTACATCAGACTACTGCATTATTTTCTCTATGCTATAGAAATGAGAGTAAACCGACCTTTAGACCATGAATATGCAAGGAACGGTGTAATTTCAATCCTTATCTAGTGCTAATGCACTAGAACTAGCCAGAGACATTTAAATGTGAAACTCTCACCTTTATTACATAGTTTATTAGTCCTGAAATATTTTATTCAGTGTCTGCCCCAGTGCTGGGACCATAGCAGTTTTGTGCCTCCAGGGCTGACTGGCAGGTCTGCCACAGAGCCAGGACACACACACCTTTTCCTGGCATTCCCCTGCAAGTCTGAATGTGACAAGGCCACTTCTTGTGTGCACACTTCTGGGTTGTCAGACCATGCCAAAGCATCCAAAATGAGGAGGATGCTAGTAATGTGGGTCCACCCCAAAATTTCCATACATGGAAAACCTAGCTGTGTGTGCTGGAGGAGAACCATGGCACGCTCCAACACACAACTCGGGGGCAGCTTGGAGCTTCTAAACTCCTGCCTGTAGGTCTAGCAGTTCCCCAGAAATCCCTGCATCTCTCATGGGGCATCCTGAAAACTCCTCAGAAGTCACAAACCTTGGAAGAGCCCAAAGTGTCCCTTCTGACAAGCACTGACATGGAAGGGTCCTCCTTTTAATCACAGCAAGAGACCAAGATATGATTATCATGAATGTTATCCTGACTCCATGCATAGGAATA